GCCTGGGGTATGCTGCTTGCACAGAACCAAGGCTTCTGCTCTAGAGTCCTGATAGCTCCCACTTGCAGACTACAGAAAATGGCTTTCCATTTGTTTAGGCTTTGCTCCTTCCTGCTTAATACCACTAGAAGGTGGTATGCAGTTTTACCACATTCTTGAAGCATTAATTGAAGCTGTATCCCTTTTCTTCTTTGTAAACTCATCTGAGATTTTTGAATTTTCTCTTGCAAGAGAGTCTCAGGAAATAAGAGAAACAGTAGGACAAAGTTATGTGGTTATCTTAGGAACCCTGTTAAACTAGGGTTTATGGAGCTAAGGCTACTCATGTGCATCTGGAGTGGAGAATGTTTTTCAGGATTCACTGCCTCTTTGCTTTCGTTGTTCTCCTTAGTTCATAGTGCAGTTCTTAGGTATAATCTGTTTCCCTCACAGACCCCTGGTCAGATAGACTGTGGTGGTTCTAGAGTCCTCATGCTTGGTGATCTGGCTCAGTTGAGACCTGGTAGATTGTTTTCATCCTTTCTGTTATCCTCTCACCCAGCAAAGCGTCTGCCCTCAATCAATTTTCTCTGGCTCTGAACTAATCTCTTTTTTCTGTAAATTCTCTTCTGCCTTCTTGGTTCCTGGTTCCTGAACAGAGCTGATTTCTTCTTTGGCTTCCAGAGATTTCTCTTCTATCTTGAAGTTGGCCTGTGTAGGCACCTTTGCCTTTGCTACAGTTCATTCTTGGTTTCTTCTGACCCAGGTGTAGTGTTATCCTCTGTTTTTTGTGTAACCCGATTCTTCTTTTGGTTCCAATCACCTTCTTGCTTGTTCTTTTTTGTGTCTCCTGGGTGAAGCTTTTTAAAAAACCAAGAGATGTTATGTAGCTTATAGTTATTACTGAATACTTACAATTTGTTTGATCTTTGGCTGACTGCTTTATAGCAGTATCTTTTTGATCCTTTTAATAATCCTATGAGGTGGGTATATTTTATTTTGCCAAGTAGGAAACTATGCTTGGAGAATTTTGGTTCATCCAATACTTAACTAGTAAAAGATAAAGCTGGAATTTTAAACCAGGTCTGTCTGACTCCAGAATCTATGATCTGGCTCTTCATCTTAAGTGTGTGTAAAGCTGGCATCTGGACTCCTGTGGGTCCATCTGGTGTCTGCCATTTCATCTCTTCCAGAGCAGGTGATCACAGGATGCTTAAACATATACCCGGAGATTGACATACAAATAATTTTCACCTAGTGGCATGGTGGGGGGTGTGTCTCTTGGTTTTGGGAGGAATGAGTGCGATGTGCATTGTGTTCAGGCCTTGTATCCTTGTACCCACCTCTCCCAGGCCCCTTCATGGCTGTGCTCTTTGCCAAACTCGAGAACATGCTGCAGAACTCCGTCTATGTCAACTTCCTGCTGACGGGGCTGGTGGCCCAGCTGGCCTGTCACCCCCAGCCCCTGCTCCGCTCTTTCCTGCTCAACACCAACATGGTCTTCCAGCCCAGTGTCAAGTCCCTGCTGCAGGTGTGCGATGCATGCATGCATGGGTGCGTCCAGGCTCCGTGGTGGGCCAGGCCCGCAGCTGGAGTGGCCCTGGGGGGGCTGGGAACAGGCCCAGTGGGACTAGGAAGGACTCTCAGTCTAGAGCCACACAGAAATATCATGAAGTTATGCTTCATAGGTGCTGGGTTCTGTGAAGAATAAAATTGAGAGCTTTGCGGCCTCCCAGGAGGACTTCCCAGCACTGCTATCCAAAGCCAAGAAGTACCTCATTGCCCGTGGCAAGTTGGACTGGGCTGAAGGCCCTGCAGCAGGACCTGCCCCCCGCCGCTCTGATCCCTTAGGTGAGGACTACCCCACCACTCCACCCCTTTCCCTGTCTTCCCTAGACAGCTAATTAGTCCAGGTTAATTGAGCTTTTATTAAGGGTGGAGTCTTGTGCCATGAAGTTGCAGAAAATTGAGTCTCCATGTTTGTTGTTTGGCTCTAGTCAGAGGATAAAATACAGTTATATCCACTCAGAGCCAAATCAGCAGCACCAGCAAAAATTATTCTAGGAGTTGAGGATAGGCAAGGGGACAGAGTAGTCTCTAGGTTGAGGTATTGGGAAAGGACATGGTATTTGACATAATCCTTGAGAGATATTTGACATGGTCTTTGCGTAGGCCAAGGAGTGGGATGGCTTTATTCTTTTCTCTAGGGGACCATATGAACTATTAAGTTGGAGCAGGGCATTTAGAAGGTGGTGAAATTGTTTGTTAATAAGGCTGGAAAGAATTGGCCAGAGCCGTAGGTGCTCAGATGAGAAGTTGGGCTGGGTAGAAGTTGTGATCTTTCAGGCAGTGAGAACCCTTTGGGTGTTCTTAGATATGAAAGCGGAGAGATAAGCATGTTAGTTCATGTGCTAGGTGAATTGGAGCCAGGAGAAAATGGAGTGTAGCTATGACCAGCAAGGCTTGAATTAGAATAGTGGAAAAAGAAAGGAGGAATTGGATAAGGTAGAAATGGGAAGGAAGTATTGGCAGAGTTTGATGAATGGTTGTGGGGTGCAGGGAAGAAGGTAGAGTTAAATATGACCATGCAGCTTTAAATTAGAGCTTCCATTAGTAAGTGTCTGTGTACTTGCTCTGTGTGTTGGCCATTGTCTTTGGTACAGGAGACTCAGGGAGTTACAAGATGAGACCACTGCTTTCTAAGAGCTGATAGTCTAGAGAGTGAATATAGAAGTGTCATTACTGAAAAAGCAAAGTCCCAAAGGTGGTGAATGTAGTGCACCAGGTCAGAATTAACTTTGGATAGGAAAAGGTTCCCTGCCCCTGAAGGCAAATGATACGTATCCTGGAGTTATGATAGGAGGAAGTGATTGTATCCATGGATTTGTGAGGTGTAGAGGGGAAGGTCAGGAATTGAAGTCCTTTATTTGCTAATCAAAGTAGGAGGCAAAATAATGTGCTAAAAGCAAGAGAGCAGGGTGAGATGGAAGATCTTGAGAGATATGAGTTGGGAAGACAGTACCATAATGGTTATTTTACAGCTGATGTTCCTTAGCATGATTTCCTCATGGTACAGCACTGTGACTGTGTCTTATTTCCATAGTTGTGGTCCTGGTTCACTGTGGAGGTAAATAAGGGATTGAGCCCTTGAGCTCATAGATTTCTCTATGAGATGGAAGACATGTGCACAAGTTATTACAATACAGTGTGATAAAGGTGGCGAAATGGGAAGTCAGTGGGGGGCAAATCAGAGGAGGTTTCTCAGGGGGTGGGGATAATGAGATTAGGCCAAGGGGCTAATGAAAACAGTGGGGAGAGTAAAATTAAGGCATAGAGGGCTACAGAAGCATGAAAAGAGGGTTGAAGTTTTCAGGAAGAACAGATAGGTGTGGGTACAAAAGCAGGGGAGGGTGTAAAGAGTTTGGAGAAAGGGTTGGAAGGGGCATGTGAGCCTGGTTGTGAAGGGTTCTGAATGCCATATTTAGTAAATCTGTGTAGCATATTTCTGTAGCCAGTGTTTGAGACAGAGAATGAGAACCATAGCATGATATAGACTCTAGATCCCTAGAGTCTAGGCCCTACATATTGTGCAAAGATCCAGAACCAGTAATCGAGGAAGAACATTAGTAGAGAGAAGGCAATATTTTAAATGGTTCATTTGAGTCTAAGCTGAGGTAAAGTTTTCTGGCCATGTGAAGTTGTCTAAGCTGATGTGAAGTAAAAGGATGGCTTTGGTGGATATAAGAGAGGGACTGGTGGTAGGCGGAGTGGTGGCACAGGAGAACAGATTTTGGAAGGGTAGTAGGGTATGGGACATGTGGTAAAGCCCATGAATTGTTGTTGCATATATGGCCCTGTGGGTGTGGAAGGAGCAGGGGATGTGGGTCATGTGTTATAGACAGGCAGAGGGAAGGTGGAAGTGGTTGGCTCCAGTGTAGGAGCATAATGTAAGGGTGTGTTAGGGACTGAGGAGACAGCTTAGTGGTAGTAGAATAACAGTTGGAAAGGGAGGAGTAGTAAGAGAGTCCCTCAGGGTGAGAGGGCATGGAGAAGGTCTTGGATGGGAATGAAGTAGCTGAAGTGTTGACTGACTGAGAAGGCTGAGGGTGATGGTTGACTGGGTGGGGAGGCTGGATAGAGGGAAGAAGGCTGGGCAGGCAGCATTTTGGTTTTAGAGTCATAGTTGAGATGTTCGTGAACCCAGGGAGGGGGGCATCTCTCTCAGACCGAGAGTGTGTGCCTGACCCCAGCACCTTCACAATCCCCAATACCCATTTATTCCCAGTGAAGAGCCGGAGGCCGTCCTTGGGGGAGTTGCTCCTGCGGCATGCACACAGTCCAACCAGGGCCCGGCAGGCGGCACAGTTGGTTCTTCAGCCTGGGAGAGACGGCGCAGGACTTGGCCTAGGTGGGGGCTCCCCTGGGGCTTCAACTCCGGTTCTGCCCCCTCGGGGTGGGGCCCCAGAGCGCCAAGGTGAGGCTCTGCGAGTCAAGAATGCGGTCTACTGTGCAGTCATTTTCCCTGAGTTTCTCAAGGAATTGGCTGCCATCTCCCAAGCCCATGCTGTCACCTCGCCTTTCTTGTTGGATACTTCAGAGGAGGGATCTGGCCCTCCTGTCTCAGGCTTCGGGCCCCTCAATCCTTAACTTTCTTCCATGGACAATCAGGGCCTCACATGGCCTGGGCTGGGGCCGGGTTATAGGCTCCTTTTTATGTTTGGAGGCAGTGGCAAGAGGACTTTTTAATTTATTTCCAATGAATGTTTTATGGAGAACTTGTTGCAATATGTATAAAAGGGAAATCTCTATTCTGTGCTCATTCTTCTTTCCCACCCTTTTTTCTGGGCTGTGGCCCCAGGAAGGTTGTACATAAATGGGGAGGTCAGGGGTACTTTGTCTCTTGTGAGGACATTGGTGCCAAGGTTTCAGGGTGCTTCTTATGCCCTTAATGGGTGAGGGGGTCATGGAGCCTAGGGGAAAAAGTAGGGACGCTCCTCCGGCCCGCAGAAAGAAGAAGCAGCATGGGCCCAGGATGGTTTTGGGCAGCAGCAGCTGATGTTTATTGGGGACCAGTATCCCTATGCCAGATCTTGGGGGCCTTGCCCCCTGCATTTCTCGCTTCAGCTTCATTCGTCGCTGTCGAACTCTGAGGACAGACCCTGCAGCAGGGGCAGGGACATGGAGTGCCGGTCGGGGTCCCCGGGGCCCCCACCCTGGACTCCTGGTGGGGGGCTGCGGGGGCTGAAGAGCCAGTTCTCTGCCAGGGTTGGGGATAGTCACAGCTTGACTCATGCCCTGGTTTTTCTGCCTCCCTGGTCCCTCCCTGGCCCTCTATGCTGTGCCCACCCCCTCACCAGGACCATGCTTCCACCTCATTGCCCCTGGCTCCCTCACTCCATCCCCTGTCACCGGGATCCAGTGTGGAGTTAGGCGTTCCCCACACATTGCTGGGCATACACTCCTGTATTCCCCATGCCCTCCCCCCCTTTACCCAATCCCATCCCTTTCAGCTTCATAACACCTAGCAGTACCTGACAACATCTGGGGCCCCCTGCGGAAGGGGTTTCGGCCCTTGTAGGAGAATCTGGTGGGTCTGCTCTCCGGCCCTTCCTGAGGTGGTGGTGTAGGTGGGCCTGGGACAGGTGGGGGCACATCAGCAGCTTCAGGGGTATTGGCAGCGACTGATGTGAGGGCCAGAGGTGGCATGATGCCGAGGTTGGGTCTGACCCAGTTGGCACCATGGGGCAGTGGATCTTTGGTCAGAGGCTTCTGTGGTCCCAGCACTCCTTTGGGCTGCAGTGAAAACTTGAGGCAGGAGAAGGCGACAGGCAGTGACCGTTGTAACCGGAGCAGCTGGGGCTCACGGGCTGTAGGTAACAGCCCCAGCTGCAGCCAGGAACAGGAGAAGACCTGGTAGATGACATAGATGCTGTGGGTGCTTCGTAGCCAGGGAAGATTTTGCTGTAGGCTCACCTGCCCTGGTGGCAGCAGCAGGAAGGCCACCTTCTTGCGCAGGCCACCCATGTGCAGGCGGATCCGGCAGGGGTGCCCTTCCAAAAGTCGCATTTCTTCATAGGCTATCTCTGCTCGGCCATTTGGTGAGTATTCCCGAGTGCAGTGGGCAAAGGCACCCTCGGATCCTGCCTGCTCCAGGAGGTTTGGTAGTGGCCCCACTGGTTGTAGTGCCCGCCGACCCTGCCGACCCGGTAAAGCCAGGCGGGTGTGGGCTGGGCGGGACTGCTTCACTAGCACACCCAGTAGGTCATAGCAGGCTGCATCCGACAGGAAAGGTACTGCCACTACATTGGGCCCAAAGCGCTCCTCGATAACCTGCAGATGGCCAGTTTACAGATCAGTGACTGAGTTAGGGTCAGGAGTTACCTGGTAGCCTACTCTAGATTGACCCTCCCATTGTTCACTGTGCAATTACATCTCCACAACGTGCTTCCTGCTTAATTCCTAGTTCTGTCTAGTTCTGTCTACTATTTGCCAGACCCTGCTGGATACTGGGAATACATAAAAGCATAAAACTTAGACCTCATCTTATCATAGCTGAGTCTAATGGAGGAGACGAAGATGTAGACGGTAGTCAGCTAAGTAAAATAATAGAGAGCCAGGTGTGGAGGAGACCAGAAGTGACTTAACAGCTTTTGTCTTTGATAGAAGGGGATCAGAGGATTTCTAGTTTCTAGGTGGTAATACTTGAATTGTGAAGGAATTAGCTAGGTAGGAGGATGGTCAATCCAGGGAAAGGATACAGCCATTTAAAAAACTGGAACTTAGAAACTAAGAAGGGCACATTCAGGAACACACTATTTCACACTACTTAAACATAAGGTCTGAAGAGGGACAGACACATAGGAACTAGACTATGAAAGATCTCGAGTGTGCTAAGTAACAGAAATTTGATCCTGAGGGCAATGGAAAGCCATTTGAAGGGCTCTGGGTGAGAGGGACAGGATCAGAGAGGTGCTTTAGAAAGTTAATTTTGAAGAGCAAGACAAAATAACGAGAGAGAAATATCAGTTAAGAGTATTGTATTACTGCAGGCAAAACATGGTGAGGCTTTCTAAACTAAATAAATGGGGGAACTAAAATAATGGGGGAAGATCTTTAGGTTATAGAATTAGTAGAACTTAGTTAAGGAGTGTGGGAAAAGGAGTCGTGTAGGATTAGTCTTAAGATGATTGGTTAGGTGGTTGATGTCATTCACTACAATGGGCACACAGAGATAGGTTTGGAATGACCATTCTTCAACATCTGCCCTGGCTACAGGGAGTACTTCTTTTAGGGATTTGAGGCCTCATCTTTGTAATGCAGGTCCCAATACGCTTTTAGGGATTCTAATTCCTCTTGGTTTTGTTCTTCTTGTCTTGCCTTTTTTAGTTTGGCCATCCAGTTCTGGGAAGTTTAACTTCATGACTACCTGGGAAACCTTTTAATCCTCTCTAATAACTGTATGTAGGAATGATCTCGACTCATCAAAGATATTGCTGGCTGAGACTTCTGGCTCTGTGTTCTGCTAGGGAGTACGTAAAATTCCCTTTTTGGGTCCCTTTGGCTCCTCTTCCTCAGCCCTCAATTCCCACACATCTGTCTCCCTGCTGCTGGCATTGCCCACCTTGCTGGCCTTCTGATAGAATTCATCAGTGATCCCTTAAGGCCAGTCTGGTTTTTTTGCTACATAGAGCTGTTTTAGAAGTGTGACTGCATAGCATAAGACGAGGGTAGTTAACTGATGGAGTTGTGTCTGCACTTAAAACAAGCTGAAGTAGCTTGAAGACTACTGTCTCTTGTCATCTAGCCAAGGAGATAAATGGCGCTCTTTCTTAATGTGCATGGAAGAATTTCCCATCTTCCTCTCCTGTGTTTCACTGAGACGTGGAATACTTTCCTTCTGGTGGGGGAATCATGCTGAAGAACAGGGCTCTAAGAAGGTCCCTTTGGATTTCCCAGGGGTGACAGCAGAGCACTGGTAGGTTGGCATTTTGTATAGAATGCTCTGTCCCATGATGAAGAAAGCATAGTCACCAAGTATAACTTCAGAATCCTACCCTTGTTGCTCCTTTGTTCCCTAGGTTCCTATACAAATAAGGCAAATAGGAGTGTCCCCAGGAGGTAACTCTCTAATGGGATTTTGACAAATACCTGGTTCTTACGGTCCACGTGTCTGCTAAGAGGTGACTCACTAATGTACCTGGAGGCTTTTTCCTAGAATATAGACATGAATTTGCCTTGGGGTGGGCGGGTTATGAGGCCGTCTTTCTTACCCTTCAGGCCCCCAATAGTGATCCTAAGGTAGGGAAAATAAAATTTCCATGCTAGGGTGACTATTCTTGGTTGAGTCACCACTTGAGACCACTACCTGTTGTTCCCATTGCAGTTTTGTTTCTGGGTAAAAGTTCTGTGGAATATAGACCCCTGCAAATTTAGATCTCCCAGGGGCAGCTTGGGAAAGTGAGGGTGGAAGACTCTTCCTGGATGTACCTTGGGTGGTTTGAGCTGAATGAGGAGCTTTTGAGCCATGTTTTGGTTAGCTCTGTGTATTAAAAGTACTCAATAAACTCTCAGCAGTTCTGGAGAGAGGAAACCGGGTCACTCAGAGGTGTCCTGCTCCTTGAATTTGCCACGTACCACTGGTGATTTATCCTGAATCATTACCTTGCCTTTCCTGACAATTTTCCATTTGAATAGGGAAATTTTCTGATGCTGAGAGATAGTGTAGCTTTCCACTAGTTGATGATCATATTTACTTTCATTCTAATAAAATGCTTGATCTTGTCCAGACCAACCTTTTACATTGCTGAAGCCAGGTACTTTGGGAGGCCTTGACTCTCCTATTTCTACTTCCCTGGGAGGCTGACCTTTGTGGTGAGCTGCTGCTCCATTTCAGATGGGAGCCTCATGCTATTAAGGCTGCTTTGAGTCTGGCAGGCGCTACTTTAAAAGATGGTTGTTTTAAAATTGGTGGGCAGCCTTCTATGAGTGCTTGAAATTCACTGTCCTTCAGATCACATAACTGGAACCTGATCCCCAAATTCTCCAAATTCAGCAATTGTAGCCATCTGGATTTGATGAGATTTGTTGGGTACCTGCAGCTAGATACAGCTGATCTCTGCCTGCTCTTGAAAATCTACATGTTTTGCTCAAAACCCAAATTTCCCATTCTGTAGAAGCTAAAGGTGAAGGATGTATCTGTGAAGAGATTGAAGTTTCTTTAGAAAGTTTAAACGCCCTTCGTGATGGGCCCCTGGATGTCTTTGACCTCATTTTCACTACTACTCATTTGAATTCTGCTCTAAAGGACTATTTGCAGTTTGCAAATATGCACTTTTCTTTTTCCTCTTGGCTTTTGCATATGCTGTGCCTTTAATTAGGACACTGTTCACTTACCCACCCACCCACCTGCTCATTAACTCATTTAGGTGTTTATTAAGCACCATTTATGAGTCAACCATTCCTTTTCCCTCTCTTTACATGAGAATAATATCTACTTGCCTAGCTAGAATGTCACTCTTTCCAGGAGGCCTTCCTGACTTCCTAAGTCCTGCCCTGACTCAGCAGTTGCTACTGTTCTCATCGATTCCTGTTGCCTTTCAAGGAATTGTCTTTCTACTCATAAATTGCTCAGACCCATCTAGGTCACACTTTCTTACTTTCTTTTTAGCCCTCTTACTTTATCCTTGATGAGGGTCCAGGTGGCATCAGCTTCATCCAGTGTCAGCAGGTGGGGGTTACCAACCAACATGGTGGGGTGTGAGAGGGGTTAGGCAGGGCAGTGGCTGCTGCAGGAACCCCAAGCTGCCCAGGGAGGTGAGGACCCAGGCCTTAGGCTTTGACCTACTACAACATGAGGTCATAGAGGTCATGTAGATAATGGGGCCTTGGGTGGGGAGAGGACAGTCACTCTACTAGCCTCACTATGCCCACAGCCCGAGTCCAGGCTCTCGAGTGACTTACCCATTCTCTTCCTTAGGGGAGAAGAATGCAGGTGTGTTTGGGTGGATTTGTATATGTGTGTGCTTGTGTGAGTGCATGTGTGTGTGTATGCTTATATTTCTTGTTCTGAGTTCTTTAAGGAAGCAGAATTAAGCTTCCCCCTTCAGCAGCCTCCTGAAGCAATTTGCTGTGCTGTATTATCAGCTGCTGATGACTTCTTTGTGAGGTTAGGTAAGGGTCCTGAAGGACATGGGAGAAGTATAAAACAGGACTTAGACTGAGAAACAAGCAGTAATTCTCAACATTGGTCATACTTTGGAATTACCTGGGAGCTTTTAAAACTATAGATACCTGGATCCTACCCCCAGGGATTCTGATTTAATTGGTCTGGAGTATGCCTAGGCATCAGGATTTCTAAAAGCTCCTCAGGCAGTTCTGATGTGCAGCCTAACTTGAAACACATTATTAATGAGTGGGTTACAATTGCAGTGAAAACCAGGTGTGTGTGTAGGAGGGTGCCATATGAGTGGTGGCAGTGTGGAGGATAAGAATCTAATTGGGTAATGTTGCCTTAGTAACTGGAGAGGACTTTTAGGAAGCCAGAATTACCCAGGTAAATTTGAGGAAATTTTTTTTCATGTACCACTCCCTGACCTAGGCTGATCTGTGTATAGCTGACTCTCTCCTGCTGCAGCCCTAATCTATGTGTGATTTCCCTTTGTGTCTCTGTTCAGAGATCTCAACCTGGTGTTTGCTGGAGAACAGTGGTTTTTCCTTGGGGAAGAGCCACTCTGTGGAGCCTTTCTAGTAACTTCTGCTCTGCCTCTTATCTGTCTAAAGAGTCTTCTCTTGAGTCCCTCTGGAGAGTCTCCTGTGTTCCTAGGAAGACCACTTCTGTATGGGGAGCATCCTTTCCTATCCTGGCCCAGCAGGTAGGGCTGTCCCATGAAGTTGGCCATAGTCTGAGCTGGCTGAGGTGGCACAAGGAATGGTCCTACATGGTGTAACTGGCCTCAGGGGAGGGTAAGTCTCTCTAGACAGAGCTAATGGTATGGGTGCTAGGTGTTTAAGCAAAGATTTGACAGTGGGCATGGGATTGCTCCAGGAGAGGAACTGAAATCAGATATTTGTTGAAGTCCTGTGTGCTAGGGGCTGTGCCAAACACTTTGAATCCATTATCCTAGTTAATCCTTTTAGTAACTTCTCAAAGTAGGTACTATTATTTCCTCATTTTACAAGTGAATTAATAGGCTCAGAGAGGTTAAGTAGATTAGTGCAAGGGATACAGTGAGTTAATGGCAGTCTGGGATTCAAATCCAAGTCGGCCTGATTCCAGCTTTTTTAAACTAAAATTTGAATGGTAGTTCTTTTTGGTAAAGGAAGACATTGCTGTATCCCCTCTGTTCTCCTGAGTGTATGGTGGGAGGGCGCCTGCTCAGTGGATGTGCAAAGTCATTTAGTGAAAAGGAAGCAGGTAGGATAAGAGAACTGCAATAGCCAAACCAGAAACCCCAAGCTTCTAGTCAGGGCAGGCAAAACCACATTTCTTCCTCTAGTGCCCTCCTAGCCCTACACCAGGAGAGGTCATCTGGTGTAGTATGGTTGGCAATTCTGTTCCCTCCAGAAAGGAATCCTAAATGAGGTAGACAGCAGAGAAACAGACACCAGGACAAGGGACACAGACATGGGGCAAACAGACAGTGCAAGGAGGCAGAAATGCAAAGGTATAGATATGAAAGTTACTGATAAACATGGGTAGGGGATGAAGTACATCCATATCCTAAGGGGATTCCAGAATGAGAAGGGGGTGGATGGGGTAGAGACAGGGATGATGGGCTGTTTGTGAAATGTGAAGAGGATCTCTTTTTCAGATTTTCATAGAGGAGGCTAAGAGAGGGAAATTGGGTATAGATGAACTTCTCAGGCAGAAGCCCATATTGTCATCTCTTTTGCTGATGATCATGATTCTTTAAGCTCCCTGCATTCCACATTGCCCTACCCTGACATTAAGTGAGACTCTTTCCCTTTGGGTCATAGAGTCCAAGGATTGAAAGTTGCTGAAGGAAAACAGATGACAACTGAGTTCTGGATGGAGTTGATGAGCCTAAGGGCTGGGCTGTTTGGGCCATAGCCTGCTTATTGGGTTGCCTCCAGTGTGGCACATTCTGGGGTTTCCGTGGACAGATCATCTGCAACATATCTGAGTGGTGACTGGACTAAAGAACATGAGAGGAACAAAACAGTCAGGGGCTGTTATTTAGGGAACATGGGGTTCTCTGCAAGAACCTCCAGGGTACTATAGAATAGTGTTGATAGAACTTTTGGAGGGATAAAGAGCCCTAACAAGTCTCCTCACTTCTCTTAGGCTACAGGGATAACTGTACAAGGCCCTAATCCCTTATTTGAAAGCTTTAGGGATAGATGTGTTTTGGATGTCAGAATTTTAGAAAGGGAATATAGTGCCTTTGTCCTATATAAAGGAGTACCCCAGAGAGGTTTAGGGCAGTGCCCTATAATTGAACACATCAATATTTCTGAACCTAAATGTATGAATATTCACACCAAGTGAGATAAATAAATACTGTAAATACCATTATGATGTTTCAGGTTAGGTTTTGGACCAAAGTTATAACAAAAAAATATTGTTTCTTCAGAAATTTTTTTTTATTTTGGAACTGTGGATAAGGGATTATAGGATTACTCTCAGGTTATTGTGAGGAGGGAGTGCTGGTAGTCTTCTAAACACATCACATGGTAGGTGTGTGATCTCAATCTAAAACAAAATAACTAATGTCCAAGAGGGTGGAATTTGGCTTGAAGAAAGAAGGTTCTTGGAGTGGGCAATGCACAACTTTGGAAATCAGGTGCCTTGGGGAGCTGTGCACAACCAGGGAATGAAGGTGCCTTAGACAAGAGGTTTCCTGTGGTGGGAAGGTGACAGAATTCATTGCTTATGAACATTGACTGCATAGGATTTCCCTTTTCATGTACTAGAGGGGAAAGGCAAAAAATGTGCGTGTGTGTATGTGTGACACAGGACGTCACATACACATTTCTTTATAATAATGTTGTAATAAATATCTTACTGCATACATCTTTGTTTATATCTCTAATTATTTTGTTAGGATAGATTTATTAAAGAGGTATCTCTAAGAGAATATGGACATCTTAAAGACTCGTGACCAATTAGGATTGGGATTTTGTCACAATTATCCACAAAATCGTTGCCTGAGGAGTTTTTTTTTTTAACTCAACCTCATGAAAAAGATTAGTCTTGAGAATGAGTGAGACCACACTCAAGGACAACTATAGATCTCCTCAGTGTGACAACACCTCTGAAAATCATGCAGAACTTCTGCACTATCTCTTCAGCTCCTTGTTAATGAGGACCTGGTAAGACATCACGTGGCCCTGGAGAGGATATCACCTGCTTTTTCAGATCTGCAGCCTCCTCTGCTGTGTGGTATTCCATGATGTTTGGTTCACTATCTGCTGAGTGGTCAGCCCTGCACTTGCCTTTAGGTCTTCATGGCTGACTCCAGTACCTGCAGTTATGATCGTTTTCCCGGAGAGCTTGGCTTTGCCTGTGCAGCCTGTAGCTTTCTCCAACCTTATAATGGTGAATCCCTGCCTTTTGCCTGAGATTATATTCATTCTTGGTTGGTGTGAAAGATCTTTTGCGCAGTGTCCCTTCCAGTGCAGAGTCTTAACTGAAAGTCAGTCACCTGTTGGGCAATACCATGACACTTCCTGTGTAATACCTCTATTCTCTGCTAGCCACAGCGGTACAAAATACTCCTATTTAAACATGTTGCACCAACATCATGTACATCTAATGATGTTGACCAGGATAAAAGGGGGGTGCTAATGTGGATTTTATTTGGGAATTCAATGTTCTTGACTGAGGATGCAGAGAAGAGCAAACTGGTAAGAGACCACAGTAACTGGACTTCAGACAAGCAGGTGAAGTGCTTATTTCCCAGGATATCAAAATTTCTTTCAGTTGGACCTCTGACCCCTATGGCTGTAGGCCCAGGAAGAGAAGTTTTAGCAATTAATTCTTGAGATATTGACAGGAGAGTGGGGGTAGTAATTACGCAAGACCAAGAGGATTCTCTGGACTGGGAATGGTAAAGATCAATATGCTGGCCAAATTTGGGACCCCCACCTGGGCACATTATCCAGATTCTCAGAACGTGGGGAATAAGCCTGTAACTTTCCCTAAGGAGAGGCTGAAAATAGAATCTGGATCCAGAAGTGGAGAGGGCTGTGATCCTAGGCAAGGACCCAAACACTTGCCTCCTGAGGCAGCGTCACTCTTCCCAGACCCCTAGGTCTAGCATCTGTAGAGGAGCTTTTGTGTGGAAACATGGGAGACTTAGGTAAAAATGATGGCAGCGGGGAGAGGAGAGTTTTCATTAAGTTAAATCTTGTGTACTATGAACCATGGTAATTCCCGATCTTATTTTCCTGCATAGTAACATGTAGCCCCCTGCCTCTGCCTCCTGAGCAAGATACATGTATAGGCCAAAGCCTGCATATGCTAGTGATTATGCATAGTAGAGACTTCATAGCAAATATTTGTTCAGTGGTTATCACAGTCATATGTAGACAGTGGGACAAAGCTGACATAATTCACACCTCCAGGCCCTAGACTCTCTTCTGTATGTCCCCTCTCCACCAGCAGACTCCACTGTTTTCTCTTACAACTGGCTTTTTCTGATGGTGAAGATTTCCAGGAGCTGGTCTCTGATTTGCTTGGTGCGGACCCCGTAGATGAGTGGGTTGAGGGCAGGTGGCAGCAGCAGATAGATGTTAGAGAGAAGAATGTGCACAGGCTTTGGGACAGTGTGACGACCAAAGCGATGTGTGAGGTAAGAGAAGAGACCAGGTACATAGAAGGCCAGAATGACACAGATGTGGGAACTACACGTGCCAAAGGCCTTGGCCCGGGCCTCCCAGGTAGGCAGCCGTAGTACAGCATGGGCAATGAGCCCGTAAGAGGCAGTGATGCCCAGGATATCTATACCTGACACGGCCAGTGAAAGTGCCAGCCCATACAAATTGTTGGCCCGCGTGTCGCCCACCACCAGCTCTACCACTGCCATGTGTGCACAGTACGCATGGCCAATGGTCTTAGCTCGGAAGTGCTCAAATCGTGCCACAAGTAGAGGGAAAGGCACAACAATAGCCACAGCTTTCAGTGCCAGTGCCAGTGCTGCATAGCCTACACGGGTTTTGGTGACTAGGAGAGGATAATGCAGTGGACGCCCTACTGCCACAGCACGATCATAGGCCATGGCCAACAGCACACCAGATTCCACAGCAGTCAGTGCATGGACAAAGAACATCTGGGCCAGGCAGGCACCGTATGGCACAAGCCGGGGCCCAAACCACAGCACAGCAAGCAACCCCGGGGCTATAGATGTAGCTAAGCCCAGGTCTGTAGCTGCCAGTGTGGCCAGGAGTAGAAACATGGGCTGCTGCAGTGTGGAATCTATCTGCACCAATGCCAGCAGTGTTCCATTGCCCAGCAGGGCCAGCAAATACATGGGCCCAAAGACCAGTGTCAACCAGGCCTGGGCAACCCCTAGTCCTGGAATGCCAGTCAGTATGAAGAAGGTTGGGCGTGGGAAGGTGGAGTTGGGATGTGGACCTTCTGCCATCCTGTGGGGGGCAAGGCTTTAGGGCTTATGGGGGCATGACTCCTGATAGGGAAGAGCTGGAGAGATTTTGGAGGGAGTCATAGTGGCACAGCCCCATTCATGGGGTACGTGTAGGGGTAGTGCAGGGATGGGGGATCACAGGGTTATAACCTTTGGTTAAGATTTTTGGATGGATAATCAAGGTCACTACCCCAGCTTGAATGGGAGAATCCTTCATGCCTGAAAGCCCATGAGTGTTGTAGGGGGAGGAATGGGGAGACACTGGTATTGAGAAAGGAGAGCCTCCCTGTTGCAGGGGCTGCTATAGCTGGAGGTCACCTGAGAGCTGGGGCTGAGATGCATGTTTTTCTTTCTCAGGATCCAAAGTAGAGTCCGTCTCAGTCTCTGTAAGGTGGGGGAAAGCCAGAGCTGGTTGGGGCTGCACTGTCCTCGAATGTGTATCTTTAGGCAGAGTTCCTGGGCCTCAGCTTCCTCAGCTCCACACTGGGGGTGGACACATGATTGTAGTGTTGTCCAGCTTTAACATTCTGGGCATCAACCCTCAGAGAAGACGAGTAGAGAGAAAAAGAGAAACAGGAAGAGGAAGACTGGACCTGCAGTGAAGCTGGAAGCCTGATGTGACAGGAGAAAACTTGCTGGGTTTTGAACACCGGGTGGAGAGTTGAAGTTGGGCCTTCGAAGGAACAGAGAAAGAGATGGCAGCAAAAAAGGGAACTTCTCTGTCTTCCTTCCTTCTTCATGATCCAGAAAGGAGTCCCACCAAAGTCTTAATACTGGGGTGCCAGAGGGAATGGAGGTGCCAGAGGGGGAGGAAAGGGTATGCAACCCAGAGTAGCAGCCATACGTGGAAGAAACATCTCTGATGTTGGAGGAGGTAGGGTGAGGAGAACCGATTCTACCCAGAATCTCGCTCACAGCAGAAGATAAATAAACATTAAATGGATAAATGAATGAGGAAAACACCAGCAGAAGACTTGACTGGAGAAAGATCCTGAGCGCTGTGTGTTGGCAGCTTTTCTTCACTTTGATGAATGCCTATGGGGCCCTTTATGAGGCTGTTCTACCTGCTTCCCTCAGGGCCCATACACCTCCCACCTGTGCCACATTAACTCTTCCCTGTGCTGCCTCCTTGCCCAGTGTGATAGCATGGTAACTCAGGAAGTAGAGTAAGGAGGCAGAGAGGGGGACAAGGAGAGTAGGATGGGAGTGAAGAGATCTGGGAAAGAGGAACACTTCCTCTGGGGGGTCTTTGCTGACTCCCTGAAGTCTGGAGAGAAGACCTTGCTATACTCTTGAATAGCATCAGTTCCCTCTATTGTAATTACTTCTCTCTCTTCTCTTTCTCTGTCGCTCTCTCTCCCTACCTCTAGCAGTGCTTCTTATAGCCAGTATCTCCACTGCTCATCACAGTGCCGGGCATGTATTTGTCTATAAGTAACTACTTATTGGTTTTAATTATGTGACAGTACTGCTGGCCAGACAGCATTTGCTGACTAACAGAGGCTCCAACAGTTTTAGGAGCCTTAGGTATCTATGGAGATGAGAAAGAAAGTTATTCACCATCAACCACAAGTCCACTGGGTACGAGTCTGCTCTAATGACACACCCTAAAAATCACCACAGCATGCAAGATAATGTAAAAAAAACGGGGCTTGTGGGAAAGGTGGCAGTAGGGGACATTAAAAAACTTCATCAGTGACACACTTAAAAAGAAGGATAGCACCCCAATAAAAATGGTGGCACTGTTTTATACATTAACTGGTCAGATAGTGCATAAATACACCAATAAATATGACACGTTACCTTGAAAAAGACTTGGAGTTTTCCTTGTGGAAGCGTTAAAGGCAGCTGGTGAATAATTGAGAAGCGGTAGAAGGGGAGACCACGGCTGTCTCCTCTTATCTGCAGTTTCCCTTCTGCAGTTCCAATTGCCCGCTGCCCTCAACTACTGTGGGGAAGCAGATGATCCTCTTTCTGACGAATCGTCAGAAGGTCAATCGTAGCCTAATGCTACATCACAGTGCTGCGTCATTCCCCTCTGCGTCCTCATGTAGGCATTTTACCCTCATATCATCCCAGGAAGCAGGGTGAGTACAATGCGGTAAGGTATTTTGAGAGAGAGACTGTGTTCACATAACTTTTATTACAGCGTATTGTTACAATTATTCTTATTACCAGTTACGGTTAGGCTCTTGCTATGCCCAATTAATATATTATACTTTATCATAGGCATGTCTGTATAGGAAGACACGGTATGGGCATACCTCTTTTAACTGCGTTTCCCAGATCATGCGTTTTTTACAAATTGAAGATTTGTGGCAACCCTGCTTCTACCAAGCCCATTGCTGCCATTTTCCCAACAGCACTTGTTCACTTCATGTCTGTGTCCCATTTCGGTAAATCTCACCGTAATTAAAACTTTCTCATT